TTAAAAATACTTTTTTTATATAGCACAAACCTACAATTTTACTAAAGCCTTGTAATAGAATTTTAACTCGATGTGTCATGAATTATCATCAGATGGATAGAGCATTTCATGATCATTAATGATATTATTATCATCGCATAAAAAATCAGCTAACTGATTCAAATAATGAGAGATAGTAATGTCTACATCAATATGAAATGAATGTTCTTCATTAATTTCTTTCTACTCATCATCTCTTAATATTTTCTTTAAAGGAGAATTATCAGAGCATTCGATAATATTTGACATTTCTGGACTAAAAATAGATGTAATACGTACAACAGTTATTACAATTATTAGAATTTTAACATATATATAATACTTACACATTAAACAGTGATTTCTCATTTTTGAATGTTTTATAGATAATTTCAAAATAATCTATTACATTTCGTCTGGAATTAATGCGATATTCTAAATCCTATTTAAAGAAAAAGTGTATAGTCATTGTGGGGAATAATAATGCGGCTGTTATCAGTACCTGTAATTTCTGTTAAGATGTTGTCAAAACTAGTTTGTGTGAGTTTATTGTTGTTGTTATTTGCATATAATAATGTCATAGTGAAATTTGTTGGAGGTAAGCTGGATTGCTTACTTTTTTTATTATTTTGAAGTCTAGGAAGAGAGTGCATCTTTTTTTGAATGGTGAGTCTAAGTATGTAAGGTCCTGTTTGTTGTTAGCTTTGTTTTTTCAGAGTGTAGTATTGTTAGTATTTGCAATTTGTTTCTTCATTGGTAACTGTAGTGTGGTCTCAAAAGAGAACTGAGATATGGGGCCTGCTAGTCTATGTTCGTTTTCTTTATTTGTAGTGGTGTTGTAGGTTCTGTTCTTCTTTCTTTTAATTTTGCCTTATATTTTGGTTCTACTATTCGCTGTTTATATCTTGTATGGCCTAAGGGCCAAAGAAAGAGCTAAAATCTATATTTATTTAGTTAGTGTAAAAGTTTTTGTGTATAAATTTTTGTCGATTATTTTTTACTTAGTATTTTGTGATCTACGAGAAAGAGTTTTTTTATTTTTATAAAGAAGATTTATTAATATTAATCAGCAGAATTAAAAACATAAATATAAATAAATATTTCCTTTTCAAATAATTCGATAACATAACATTAACCATTCTAACTATTCTTTTTGTTTATTTTATTTACGTCATTCATTACATTATATTCCATGATATTAGTTAGTAAGTTATATAGAACCAGAAATAATTTAATTTAAAAATCTCGTTACAGTAATTCAATAACATAACATTAACCATTCTAACTATTCTTTTTGTTTATTTTATTTACGTCATTCATTATATAATATTAGTGCGTAAGTTATATTCATTTTCATCATCTAATATTCTAATCCTAAGTTCATGATCATTTTCCACCAAAATAATTTTAAAATTATGTTTACTTTCCTTTTGAATGATTATTTTTTGCGAGCACAGTTTATTTATGACAAAGTGCTTTTGTAGGCCAATCATATAGTGCTGAACTATGACAGTAAATCATTTGGTATCTAATACCTCCAGTATCATGCTTGATCTGTTACACTAACTTTAAATATATTTACCTAATATTACAAATAAAATTGAAATGTAACCATGATGACAAAGTTTTTTTCAAATGGACATCTAAAATGGCCTGCGAGGAAATAATATAACGGAAAGCTCTAGGAAGAATTGCACAAATTGGATTTCTCTACGATGCTACAAGAGATACCTTTAATGAAATCTCCATATTTAGAAAAGAACTTCCACACAACTTAATAA